TTACTCTTTCTAATGTTTATTCATCAGCAGGGTTGTGGAATGAAGCATTTGGAGTAAGGATGAACTGGAAGAAAGACAGTGATGAAAATACAGAGCCCGGCCTTAGCCGAATCTGCACTCGTCCACAGGTTTATTGATCTGGAGTTCTGGAGGTTTTAGAAAGGTACATATTTATCTCCTCAAGTGATTCACCTTGGAAGAAATTACTTATTTTTGGGTTATTGTGGTATAGGATCATTTGTCTCAGCAACCCTAACAGAGCAACGAATTTAGAGAACCTGTCATTTGTTAAATATAACTGAAGTAACTTTGGTATATGATGAATTTGTTTCAGCGACGCAGAATTGCTATTGTGAAGAAATGTTCTTGGTTTATAAGTATATTTTACCCTTTCCACCTCGAGGATGACTTAAGTGGTCGAGACAAAGTCTTGCAAGTTTAATGACCTAAATAAGTTGCAGAGGCGAAATCAACATAACATGTTAGAAGATGGAGAGTAAGACCAAAATTAATGTGATGAATTTGGTTACACAAACCTCGAGCTTTATTTAATAGGTAGTTTTGAGTTTTGAGTTCTATTCTACAACCCATGACATTCGTATGAGAATATTTTCTTGCCAGTGTTCATTTGATATGAACTAGGTACCAAACAAAGACTATCTACTTGTTCTGTAGTTGTATACCCCGTGACTATCTATGAGAGATTCGTAATATTTTCTTTATTCTTGTCCCACCCCCGACTAACTTCAATCAGTGAATATTCCTTTATGGGATGTTTGTATGGTACATTAGACCGTATTGTCTATTGTCATGTACACTACTGTCCAATCATACATGCCCTTATAGTACCAGACACCGTACATCACTATAAAAGGAACAAAATATTGAAGAACTTGACAAGATTGTATAAATACTACTCATCCAGGATTTTACTCAATTCTCCAGGAAATGTCACGTTACAGAATGTATAACCACAGGAGAAGCAGAGCAAGGCAATCTTCAGTTTTAGCAGTATCTTTTCTTTCTCTCTCTCTTATATCAGTTCGAGGCTGCTCGTGCAACTATTTTCACCGTAGGGGATTTTTCCGGCTGGGATTTCAATATGGGAAATTGGACAGATGGGAAACACTTCAAGGCTAATGATGTACTTGGTGAGGATAAAGCTATTTGAACAGGGCTTCATGTAGTGCGGTCCACTTGGTAAACCCTCCAGCTATAAATTTAACGTCAGATGTTGAACTACTTAAGTCTATAAATTTTTTAACTTATAGAGACCTACAGATTTATTTATTTATTTCTTTTGTTGAGAATGCCCCCTTGTGCAAAGTCTGAATTCATTTCATTTATCAAATACTTTACACTTGGAACGATTTTTATAAATAGTAGGTAGCGAAACTTGATCGTGGGATCTTAACTTGCTCTAATACAACGTCGAACCACCTTAAGCTTTTAGAGAACGGACACATTTTTGAACGCCAACCTATATTTACATTTCTATAAATGCAAGCATATTCTTTCATTTTTTCCTTTCTTTTTTAAATATAATTTTTCTCTGTGGTTTTGCAGTTTTCAACGATGATCCATCTCTGCATAATGTGGCTGTAGATTTGAATGCATATAGCAGTATTTCTTGTTAGATATTTATACAATAAATATAATGTGTGAAAAAAATAATTAATTCAGATGAGGTGCTCAATTGGTGAAAAATGTGGAATTTGTGTGGGAGATCGGGTGTTCGAGTGACACTTCACGCATTATATTAAAAGGTCTTTGATTGGGGCCTTGGGGGTTCGAGTCACACCTCAATTTTGCATATTTTCTGGAGTACACTTGAGAGTTCTGAAAACCNNTTGGAAACCATTTGTGATTGCTGCACAATTGGGTTATTTGATCGTTGTATTCTGGAGGTGACTGTCCACAGAGGTCGCAACAGTTATCGACGGGAAATTTCGCTTTAAGACATCGTGCTGTCACGATACTCGATCAATCGATAAATTTTATTTCGGTACTTTACTGTATTGCAATAGGATCATGGTTTCAAAGGGAAATCACTACTTCTTATGTAGCTATCCAAGCCACTGTGATGGGGGATTGAAGATTGCAATCTCAGCTTCTCGAGGAAAATCTCCTTCCTCTGTCAAATTTACTGGGTTTTCCAGATGGTTATTTTACTAGCCCTCGTTGTTACCAAAAACGTGCACTTATAATTTTACGACATTTTTAACTCTAATGCAGTGTTACGACTTACAAGTGTCTTGTTAAGTCCAAACTGTTGTGAAATCATATCATTTAGGGCATGTTTGGTTGGAGGATCTCAAATCTATATATCGTCTTGATTTTGTTACTGGAAACCCTGCTTGGGTTAGATCTACTAGTGCAAAATATAATACTTCTTCCATGTTCCAAAGGTCGGACTTGCTTAAGAATCAAACTATATTTGAGAAGCTCCAATGCCTTCATCGCTTTTCACTCCAAACTTTCTAACCTCGACTAAGTCCAAAGATGGACTTCTTTTTTTAATTGGAATGTATGCTCCGCGATTTACATGAGATCAAGCCGTTCTTGGTTTAGTCCCTTAGACGACCATCTTTTCTTTATGTAATGCATCACCTTGATGAGGTCTAATGCGCCACGTTAATGACCCCATAACGTCGAACACACAAAAATTGTAAATCCAAGTCCGAAAATAAGACAATGTGCCACCAAGAACTAAACGAGCTAAATAAACTACATTCTACATGCTCAACCAATGGTGCAAATGGCCAAATTGGT